CCCTACCCTAAACCCCTAAATCCCTAAACCCCATAAACCCCTACACTGGCCCTACCCTAAACCCTAAACCCCTAAACCCCTAAACCCCTAAATCCCTAAACTGGCCCTACCCTAAACCCCTAAATCCCGAAGTCCCTAAACCCCGAAATCCCTAAATCCCTAAATCCCTAAACCCCTAAACCCCGAAATCCCTAAACTGGCCCTACCCTAAACCCCTAAATCCCTAAACCCCTAAACCCCTAAATCCCTAAACTGGCCCTACCCTAAACCCCTAAATTCCTAAATCCCTAAACTGGCCCTACCCTAAACCCCTAAACCCCTACATCCCTAAACCCCTAACCCCTAAATCCCTAAACTGGCCCTACCCTAAACCCCTAAACTGGCCCTACCCTAAACCCCTAAACCCCTACATCCCCAAACCCCCCAAACCCCAAAAAAAGGTCCCCGGCCTCCTCCGGTTGCAGGTCCGCGGTCCCTGGGCTTCGGGGCTCTTGGAGTGTTCCTGGGGCGCTCTACCATATGAACAGGGTTCAGGGTTTAGGGTTTAGGGTTCAGGGTTTCGGGTTTAGGGTTTAGGGTTTAGGGTTCAGGGTTTAGGGTTTAGGGTTCGGGGTTTAGGGTTTAGGGCTCAGGGGACCTCTTCCTTGAAGGGTTGGGGGATTTTAGGGCTGCTTGCAAAAGAGCGGCTCAGTGCTTCTGGCTTTCGGGCAGCTAACATCCTCTTCTACAACCCTCTGCAACCCTCTGCAAAGCCCTTCCAAGCCGCTGTAGCATCCTCAAGTCAAGTTGAGACCCTACAAAGCCCTGACAAAACCCCACCCTACACCCTAAACCCTAAACCCAGAGGCCAAGCTCCGAGCCTGCTTCCGGAGCTGGGGCCTTGCTGAAGCTCTCGGCACCTCAGAGGAGTTCCAAAGGGCGCTAGGACACGTTGCTAAACCCTAAACCCTAAACCCTAAACCCTAAACCCTAAACCCTAAACCCTATGATCCTAAACCCTGCTAGCGCTCTGTTTTTTTCTGAAAAGCTGGAGAGGGGCCTCCAGAGCCATGGGCCATGGCCATCATGGCACTGGCGGAGCCGCTGAAGGAGTTTGGGTCCGTGCCTGGCCGAGACGTAGGGTGTAGGGATTACGGTTTAGGGTTTCGGGTTTAGGATTTAGAGTTTAGGGTTTAGGGTTTAGGGTTTAGGATTTAGGGTTTAGGGTTTAGGGTTTCGGGCTTAATGGTGCGGGATTGTCCGTCGCATCGCACCACGAAAGATTCTCCCAATTGCTGGCGGCACCTCGAGCAAACTGCTGGTCGTAGTCCATTGAAGGTTGGGTCGCTTGGCCACCGGGTATATCAAATGCTCCCGTGTTGAAGCCGTAGTCATAGCCGGCAGCGCCGTATGCACCAGGTTGACCTCAGGGTACGTTGCTGCAAAACACCCGACACTATGCCCACCACCAACATCCAATACAACAACGGCACGACACGCCTGGAACAGGAAAGGAAAGTTGGACATACGGATAAGCAGATAGCAGATATGCAAACACAGATATACAAAAAAATGATAGGCGCATGCATGCGTGTATGTATATCCATACATACACCATCTATCATATATCAGGACCTTATCAGGATTACACAGTGTCCTTCTGAAACCCAGGCGCTTCCAAACTGCGCCATGCTGGCATCCGGAAAGCTGCTGGAAAGGCCTCCACCGAGTCCCCCGAAGTCCTCCGTGCTCATGCCTTGCCCCTGGGCCCCCGAAGGGGCCCCGAAGGGGTCGCTCGAATCCCCGGGGTCGGAAGCAAAGCCGGAGGAGGCCACGCCGAAGCTTCCACCGAACTCCCCGGCGCGGTAAGCTGCCGCCGCTGCATCTGCCTCTGCCCAGTCGTTCTGTGGGTGCCCGAAGCTCGGTGTCATCGCCACCTCGGGCTGAACCTCAAATGCATCGGGCTGTGACTCCTTCTTCCGGCGACGATGCTTCTTGTGCGAACTGCTATGGCTCTCCGGCACGGTGTCTGAGTCGGGGGGCGATGGGGACACGCCTGACACACCCGAGAATGTCCGTGAAAACTCCGTCGAAGCCGAGGGCGACCCGATCTGGAGCTCTGCATAACGAACGGCAACTGCAGAAAAGCGCTCGTAGGCTGCCATGTCGCCCTTCTCCACCGCTTCTGCTGCTGCATGCTGCCACTGGGCCAGCATCGACTCGAAATGCGCCGTTGCCTCCCCGGCTTCCGGAGAGCCTGGCCCAAAAGGGGGTTTCCGAAAATAGGGGACCCCAATATAGTTCCCCAAATAATAGGATCCTTATTATAAGGACACCAGAATAAGGATATAGTACCCCAAATAATAGGATCCTTATTGTAAGGACACCAGAATAGGGTACCCCCAGCTTCCGGAGAGCCTGGCCCATATTTGGCGATGAACCCTAAACGCCTAAACCCCTAATTAAACCCTAAACCCCTAAACCCTAAACCCCTAAACCCTAAACCCCTAAACTGCCCTAAACCCTAAACCCCTAAACCCCCTAAAGCCGGAGAGCCTGGCCCATATTGGGCGATGGCGCTTTGCACCGCAGCCGCCAAGTTTTGCAGCGCGGGCTCCGAGAGCTCCCCTGGACCCGAGTCGGGAGCCGGCGCCTCCGCCCCAAAGCCACCGAAGCCTGGGCTGCTGCTGTTTAGGGTTTAGGGTTTGGGGTTTAGGGTTTAGGGTTTAGGGTTTAGGGTTTAGGGTTTAGGGTTTGGGGTTGGGGAATCTAACTTAACTTACCAAAATGGGGGTACATAGCAAATATGAGGGTATCCTTCTTAACGAAATTGAAGCTCCTGAACAGCAACCCAGAAGCTCGAGCTTCCACCGCCGCCGCCAGTGCTGCCAAAGCCGAAGGCCCCGGCATCGCGGCTGGCCGAGGGCTTCGTGAGAAAGACGTACTCTGCGGGGCCTTGGGGAAAGCGGACGTTCTCTTTGGTCAGCTCCTTCCAGGCATCCACGATCTTCGCGCCTCCCGGGCTCCCCGCCGCCTCGTAGTATCTTCCCCACTTGTCTAAGAGCTCCAGGGTGATCGAAAGTATCGACTCGATGTCTTCCGGAGCTGCCTTGTTGGAGAACACGGAGGTCGGGCGTCTCTTTCGCCGCTCTTTCTCCTGAAAACACGAAACACAAAACCGCCGGAGACCAGCAAACCAGAAGCTAGCGGCTAGAGGCTTCGTGGCTTCGGAATGGAGGCAACCTGTGACCACCCTAAACCCTACACCCTAAACCCTAAACCCTAAACCGAAGCACCCGGAAGGCCTTGGTCTTCTTGGCAATGTTAATGAAGAACTTCAGCTCCCTGGAGAGGGCTTCTGCAAGCTGGCCATCCTTTACATCCATCAGGAAGTCAAGCACCTCAGTCAGCCGCCAGACGAGGAAACAATGCAGATAAATCCACATCGACCCTTGTGGAATACAGCGTGTATCTCTCTCCTTCCCTCTCCATATACATTATATACATATATCTATATATACATATATATATACACACATACATACATAACTTTGCTTATAGTTCTGGCGGTAGGACAAGTTAGAGTCCCCTATCTACTCATTCACCGAAACTTGGCATACTGATAGATTGATGTCGAACAGTAGACCTCCATCTGAATACCGTCTGCATCCTTGTCTGGGTTGAAAAAATTAGGAAGGTCTTTAGGGATATAACTTCATTGCACATGCAAACTTGTCGAAGCAACATGATTCTACCTTGTGCTCGCCTTTGTAGCCATGGAGAGTGCTGTGCTCTACACTGTGTAGACCTTGAACCACAACCCCCAAAACCCTGTACCTAATCCTTACGAAACCCTTCAACCCCTACCCTAAACCCCAGGGAACCTAAACCCTAAACCCTAACCCCTACCCTAAACCCCAAGAAACCTACAACGAAACCCTCCAGACGAGTACCCTAAGCTGATCCGCCCTCGTACCTTCCCTAAACCCTAAACCCTCAACCCTAAACCCTAAATGCTGAACCCTAAACCCTCAGCTCCGGGCGCGCATCATCGCAATCTTGCCGGACGCCGGCTCGCTCCTGGGCTCCGACTCGGCTCTAGGGTTTAGGGTTTAGGGTTTAGGGTTTAGGGTTTAGGGTTTAGGGTTTAGGGGTTTTTCAATATACAAAAAATGCACTACGATGGTTATTGTTATGTTCTAGGTTATACAGCTTAAACACCTCCTAAGATAAAGTTCATTGTGATTCCTGTGGCGGCTATGGTGATTGCGAGATCTGCCCGCCTTCATCACTGTGACCCCTGCTGCTGTTGCCTCAACAGTTACATCTCGTGCTTTGTACCATTCACGCTTTGCCAACTCATCCTCTACCTATCGACGACTCGACGACTGCAGAGCGTGAGGGCTCAGCTTTAAGTCGGGGCTGCATCGATGCCCTGGGATCCTCAACTTTTGCCAGGGCACGGGTCTTTCAGGCATCGCAAGCAACGGGATACGACCGCATTGCCCGCTCCCCAGCGGGACAGGTCATAGAGCCTGGGGGCCACTCATCACTCTCAGTGTTCAAACAGCAGATGGCTAGGAAAAGGCACGATAAGAGTGAGGAGTGAGGACGTGGTGATGATGACGACGTGATGTTAGTTGTGGTTATGCTCTGCGCTGCTCCTGTCTGAAGTCGACGGTGCTGACCGTGATGGGGACGATGCTAATCACGAAGTTACTGATAAGCAACGAGATGGTGATGGTGACGATGACGATGATGACAATGACAATACTAGTGATGATGATCACGGACGACGAGCACGTCCACGTCGGCGGCGGCAGCCTGCCGCTGGGAAGCGACACTTCTGCAAGCCGAGGTGCCGCAGAAGCTCTTGCTGCACGCTCTCCGAATCCAGCTGCGAAGGGCTTCTGGCGATTTCCTGGTCATGAAGCTGGGATGTTGAAATGCTGGAGCAAGCAGGGTCCACCCTGCTGACCGGCTATATGATCCTCTTCATAGCTACTTTCACTAGGATAAGATCGGAGACCAGGTCACCTTGATGATGTCTTCGAGCAACGAGGTGCTCTCCAGCACTCCAGGCGACAGGGGAGACCTTTCTGCAAATCGCTTTGAAGGGGCGTCGGGTTCAACATATCCTTACTTTCTCAGATCCCGGCCCACCATCGGAGGCCATGGCCCAGGGCACATGTCAATGTGTGTACAAACCCCCAAGGGAACTTCGGGGAGCTGTAGGGGGACTTTGGGGAACTTTAGGGGAACTTTGGGGAACTTTGGGGAACTCTAGGGAACTTTTGAAGGGTTTGGGTCCAAAGTTGGGGAGAGCTGACAGGAGCATCGCCAGAGCGAGACTCTGAAGAGGTGAAGAGGTGGTTGACAAGTTTCTCCAACTGCACATTTGCCAGCCGAGACTGGTTGCTGCGTCAGAGTTTCGGGAGTGCCCCCAGCTTTTCGCCAGGGGTGCGTGGGACTTCCGAGGTTCTGAGGGAGGGACTTTCGTTCCAGGCGCTCCAACCTCTACGAGTAAAGCAGCAACATCACGCAGCTCTCGAAGTTTGGAAACACGGGGCCCCCTAAACCCTAAAAAACCCGAAAGGGCCCCTGGTCTTTCTGAAAGTCCCATCGGAACTCGAAAGTAAGGCCGCGGCTTCCCGTTGAGAGCCTGAGCTGAGCAGCTGACACTTCACGATGCTCCGATTCGACGGAACAAGGCCGCTTCAGGGGATTAAGGGTTTTGGGGGTTTAGGGTTTAGGGTTTAGGGTTTTGGGTTTAGGGTTTAGGGTTTAGGGCCGTTTAGGGTTTAGAGGGATCGCCGAAGCAAAATGGTGGCGACGGTCAACTCACCTGAGGAGCACGAGAGGGAGGCGAGCTTCCGGGCGGCCGGCATGTTCTCATTTCCAAAATTGCCATAACCGGAGAGCTCGCTTCCACCTGCCGGGAGCTCGGAGCTCGTGATTTAGGTATCCCATTGAAGGCTCTCTAGCCGGTGCGCCTGCGTTCCCATACCAGGTGTAGGCGTAGCCTGGGTTGCAGCAAAGTTGGGCTCTACGTCAGACAGGTGAAGATGCTCTGCCATAAATCAAAAGCAGAGATGTTGGCTTTCCATCCACGGCTCCTTGCAAGGCTTGAGGCCAGGAGCAATGTACCCTAAAGCCTAAACCCTAAACCCTAAACCCTAAGCCGCAATGGAAGGCACCGCACCTCTGTGATCGGATCCTCCGCCACCGTGCTTGTCTCACTGACATCGGTGGTACTGCCTGAGTCTATCAAGGCTGGCCAGGGCCAACAAGCAAAAGGCTGAGTGACGGACTGCCATCTGCAGCCAGCGTTCCTTTAGGTTTTGGGTTTCTGTAAGGGTCTATTGGCTTCCATAAATGTTCAGACTCTCTTGGCTTGCTCACAAGTCAACTGAAGATTGGACTCTCATCTTCCCTAGCCCGGTCTCCTTTCAGCAAGCCTGGGTCGATTTCGTCCAGCCTAGGCCAGGCGTAGGATTCAGCAGCCGAGCTTTCATGCGGCAGTGGATCAGCGGAACCCTCTAACCCCAAAAAACCTACACCCTGAGCCTGAAACCACATCCTAAACCCCTACGCCCTAAACCCCAAAACTCCGAGTCAAAATCCTTGGGCAAGAGCTGGAGTGGCACGTGTATATACGCCGGGACATCGGCCGCCTCGCCTACCCAGCGGGGCTTCTTAGAAACTAGCCGTTATTTGGGTTTCGGGTTTGCTTTGTTTAGGGTTTTGGGTTTCGGTCGTTGTCCGGATTCTGTCAGAGTTTCTTTAAACCGACGGCAAATGCTTTCCAGGGTTGTACAAAGGGGGGTCGCCCGCTGTTCCCGACCGGCCTGTTTCGTCAGAGGGCGCCGGCAAGCCCAGATGCAAGTCGGACTGGGCAGCGACACTCACTGCAGAAGCCACGGTTAGGGTTTAGGGTTTAGGGTTTAGGGTTTAGGGTTTAGGGTCCATGCACAACTCGAGGCGAGGCAGCCGAGGCAGATGCCACATCCGGAAGTGTGGACTGCATCGGCATGCGGTAGGACTCTGGGAAGAAGTACATGTCCTTCCAAGGCTCACAGGGAGAACCGCGACGTCTGCCGACAACTTGCCAGGAACAGCCACCTCAGCACCCTGCCTTTGGGTCGCCACCAGACATAACGGCTGTCGCCTCCGGAAGACTTCCAGATACCAACACCAAATCAAGGCCAAAGCAATGATGACCTGTAAGTACGAGGCCGGAATCTTATCCTCATCCTACCTTCTTCCACATCCCTCTTCCTCGTCGCCATCCTAATCTGCATCTCCATCATCATCACCACCATCATCTTCACTATCGTCACTACTACCCTTCACCCTACCTGAATGACCAGACAGAAGTGGCCCGACACCTGCGGTGGTCGCACGGACGAGAAGGCGTCGTAGTTTGTCCCTGTGCAGTGGCCGCAGCTGGTATTCCTCTTTCCCTCCCAGAGCGATCGACCCAGATAGCCCCTTCCCCATTGTTGTCAGGATACGCCTTACATCACAGGCTACTTAGGCCCCATATGTTCCTGGGCTCTCTGGGGAGAGAGCTCGGTGCCCTGCCGCTCCATTCCTCCAGGCCAGGCGGCGGCATGAGCAACCGGTCTTCCTGGCATTGGGGCTTCATCTGGAAACCTCTCCCTCTCTCGAGCCTCCACGATGGCCTTGCTCTCTAACATGACAGAAGCCTGGGATCCGTCGGTGGACCCCAAGTACAAGCTTAGATTCACCACCTGGCCTTCGAAGAAGGTGCCTGCAACAGGGTCGATGTGCCATTCTGCACTGCCCTTTCTGCTTCCACAGATATCTTTGTACACCTTAGACTGACCTTAGAGAAGCCCTGCCAGACTCTGGAGCCCTTGAAGAAACCGTTTAGAAGCCGCAAAGCTTGTGCTGGCCTCTTTCTGGTTCGCCTTCCCACCTGAAGACGGGCTCGATGGGAGCTGCAGGTTTTTTGGGGGGCCTCTCCGCAGACCCCCCTTCTCGTCTGGGGTCTGCGATTGTCGGTTTGGGGTTTAGGGTCCAGGGTTTGGCGCCTCCCAGAGCCAGAGTTTCGCTGATAAGGGCCCAGACAGGGTTCCCTAATGTTCCTTGTAGTAGCATAGACCCCCTCGAGAAATTACAACGTAACAATGAACCCCAACATAAGGGGGTTTCCGAAAATAGGGGACCTTAAAGTACCCTAAATAGTAGGATCCTTATTAGAAGGACCCCCAAACAAGGTACCCTAATTTTCGGAAACTCCCATAAGGTATAAGGGCATGTGCGGCAGCTGGACAGCAATGGCGTGCTAGGCTTCCCACGCTTGAGCTTCTGCCTGCAGCAAGTGTCATAATGAGATGGAGATTTGGGGGGTTCCGAAAATTAGGGTACCTTATTTTGGGGTCCTTATAAGAAGGATCCTATTATTTAGGGTACTATATTAGGGTCCCCTATTTTCGGAAACTCCCATTTGGGGCATGCTATACCCTCGTTGTATCAGTGAGCCCTCTAAGGATATGAGGGGAACCCGAAGGAGTAGCAACAGCATTACGAAGGCTGTCTTGCCATGTCAATCGGAGATTGTACGGTTCCATGTGCTAGGTCTCAAATCTGTGGCTGAGGCTCAACGGACCGCCGACCCAAAACTCTAAACCTTGTAATTCTGGACCCCCAACCCTAAAACTGAGACACTAAATACGCCAGCTTTCGGAGAAGCTTCCAGGTCACCCTAGGATTAGGGTTTAGGGGTTCAGGGTTCAGGGTTGAGGGTGTCTGACGATCCTGTTGGGAGAATAGCCGAAGTTTCACATCAGCAGTCAATGATAACTGCTGACATAGGGGGCTTAGCAATTACAATTGGGTTTGGGTGTGTAGCATCTTGTACGAAATTTACTTAGGGGCTGCAAGGGAATACTGCTATTCCGACCCCCATATTTACCCTGCTGCCGCTGCATGTTGGGCGGATGCCTTCCATCAGCTTTCGAAGGAGCTGCCTAGGCGGAAGTTCAGCAACAGGAGCTTCGACACTGTATAATTTTCAGAGCCCATGCCCTAAAAGCATAAACCCGAATCTCCAACCCTGATTGCTAACACCCACCTCCCCCACATCCTACTTGAGGGATTGCTGTTGTAACACGTATCAAAGTTCAAGGAAACGCTTATTTGGCACCACATGGGGGTTTCCAAAAATAGGGGACTCCAATATAGTACCCTAAATAGTAGGATCCTTATTATAAGGACCCCAAAGTAAGGTACCCCTATTTTCGGAAACTCCCACATCTACACTACCAACAAACATCTCCAGAGCCACTTGGCACCAGGCGCTGCGGAGTTCTTCACGTCTGTGCGCATAGCCGCAGCTAGGGTTCGTGCACCTTGGACTGGCGGTTTAGGGTTTAGGGTTTAGGGTTTAGGGTTTAGGGAACGAGGTGCCGGGTCTCATAGAAGTATCATAGTATCATGGAGTATCCGAATCGACACAAAGCGAACCAAAGCCTCAGAGAGACCAGGCACCACCCCGTTTTTGTCCTAAACCCCTGAACCCTAAACCCTAAACCCTAAACCCTAAACCCCTGAACCCTAAAATAGACCCTAAACCCTGAGGCCCCAAACCCTAAGCCACTCTCCTTGCTCTCCTTGGCTTCTTCTGCTCGGCCTCTGTGAGTCTCCAGCTTGGAGGAGCTCCCGGGAGCATTGCGACCTGCCTTCCGATACCCGCCTCCGAATCTACCCTAAATAGTAGGATCCTTATTATAAGGACCCCAAAATAAGGTACCCCTTATTCTCCTAAACTCCCACAGTCTATTTCCCAAAAGTCCCGCAAAGGGCCTCCTCCTTTTCAGGATTGCTCCCGCCCCAGCCGAGTGGAACTCTTTCGGGAGAATCCCGCTTCTGGCTGCCAGGGATGCGTGCACGACATGGCCGTGCAGTACAGCGCAAGATGAAGACCGATTCGGCGCCGAAGTCGGCCGCGGCCTTCCCCGGTGACTTGAAAGCCGAAACGGGCGACGTGGCGGTGCTCACGTCGCCCTTCTCGGCTCAAGGCGCAGAAGGCCACGGCCAACTTCGGCTTCCTGCTCCTACTCCGTCTGGCAAGCAGCACCCCGCGCTGTGAAGCGAAGCCATGAAGGACTTCTGCACCAGGCCGCAGAAGGAGCGCGTTTCGCAGCTGGA